ATGAAGAACTTGGGAGAGGCACAATACATATTAGGCATCAAGATCTATCGGGATAGATCTAAAAGGATGATTGGATTGAGCCAAAGTACTTATATTGATAAGGTATTGGCACGATTCAACATGGAAGGGGCCAAAAGAGGGCACCTACCCATGTCACATGGCATAACTCTCAGCAAGAAAAAGTGTCCACAAACACCTGATGAGCGAGAGAGGATGAATCAGATTCCATATTCTTCGCTTATTGGATCGATCATGTATGCCATGATATGTACTAGGTCGGATGTATCGTATGCCTTGAGTGCTACGAGCCGATACCAATCATGCCTAGGAGAGGCGCATTGGACTGCGGCAAGAATATCCTAAAGTACCTGAAAAGGAACAAGGATAAGTTTCTGGTCTATGGTGGTAGTAATGATTTGGTTGTTGAAGGTTATACCGACGCGAGCTTCCAGACTGAAAGAGACAACTCTAAGTCACAGTCAGGGTACATTTTCCGCCTAAATGGAGGAGAATTTAGTTGGAAGAGTGCTAAGAAAAGCACAACTGCAGATTCTACAACTGAAGCCGAATAATTGGCCGCTTCAGAAGCAGCTAAGGAGGTAGTTTGGATTCGTAAGTTCATTGGTGAACTTGATGTTGTACCCTCAATCAAGGGTCCGAAAGACCTCTATTGTGATAATAATGGAGCTATTGCTCAGGCTAGGGAGCCAAGGGAACATCAGAAGGTCAAACATGACAAGAGGCGATTTCACATGATAAGGGAATGGAAGCCCGAGGGTGAAATCAGAATTTGTAAGATTAGAAGGGACGACAATGTAGCCGATCCACTCACTAAACCTTTGCCTCAAGTGAAGCACAACAAGCAAGTTGAGGCAATGGGAATCAGGCACGTTGGAGATTTGCTTTGATTTCCCTATTCATGTGTTTTAATTAATTTTGAGGTTTTAATGTAAAACACTATGTTGAACCATTCGGTTTTAGAGTAATTAAAATTTTCTGCAAATTTATATCACTCTATTTCTATTTAATTGTGGTTTAGAATTAAATAATGAGTCCATTCGATTTTTGAGAATATTCAAAGCAGGGTATCAAGACCATGTCTTGGATAAAGAAACACCTATTAAGTGAACATTGAACATTTCAATCGAAAATTATCCCTAATCAAGGTCATTTAAATGATGGACGATTAATGACCAATTGAGATTAGTGTGTAGTATGATTTATAGCACCGTTTCTTGTGCTACGAGAATATGACTATCATAAATCATTTTCACAAGTATTGGTTTAGAACTATACCGGATCGACCTATGAGAATACTTTAAGAGATTTAAAATCGTCATAAGTATATTTCTCATTATAGCTATCGGAACCTTTTTCCTCGACCATGAGTATTGTAAGTTCTCTTGTTTGAGTACTAGTCCGTTTTGATGTTGTCAAACGTCTGCCGTAAATGGGGATTATAACGGCAACACTCGAGCGACTAGGTTCTCTTAGTAAGGGAAGCTAACAATACAAGACTGGGAATGTCCCCCTACTAACAATAGAGAACATGTCTTTGTTGTTTACAAGGCCTCTCGAAGAGCGAGACTGTGAAAATGCATGGTCGTGCTCAGATGGATATTAGAAATCATCTGCTTATTGACAGTCGAACTTGGAAATCGAGAAACACTTCTGAACGTAATAAGGATAACGAAGAATCTACCTTATAGTTCACGAAGAGACATTAAGTGACATAGGAAATGGGCTATACACTAATTACACATTTGTCCGGAAGGACAAGTGGGAGATTGAAAGAAATGGTGTCCTTCCAACAAGTGTATTATTCCGATAGAGGGTTCGGAATTATTAGAAAGCTAATTCTTCAATGAGGTCAAGTGATCGGAATGCCTAGGTGGAAGCAGCTTCCGATCAATAATATTAATGTATAATTAATATTACAGCTTAATCTTGACTGAACCCTTCGAGTCGCACCCCAATCGAGTAACCGATCCGTAACAACGAATCAATCCGAAGGATTAGATGAGTCATTAGAGTATTACGAACAAAGACGTCGGATATCGAGCTTGGAGCGTCGAAACCGAGCATCATAAGTCGAGTCGAATTTAGAATTTAACGAGAAGAGAAATCAAGCAAGCGACAAGTACGAGCTAGGTCGTAGCCTCGCATTGGCCTAGCCATGCGAGTACTAGGCTAGCCTAAGCTACCAACCGCATCGCAAGGCATGCCGCAAGCCAAGTATGCATATGCGTGCTAGGCTTGCTGGTCGAGCATGCTAGAAGGGCTGGTGAACCTGGCCGCAAGCATGCTAGCAACTGGCGCATGCTAGCGTGCTAGTGTGCTGGGCCACGCACCATGCATGTCGAGCTTGCTAGCAGCGCATGCATGCTAGCATCGCAAGCTAGCAGCGTTGGCTAGCTAGCTGATGCGGCATGGGGCCAGCATTGCTGGCGCGCTAAGCGTGCTAGCATGCTGGGCCTCGCACCCATCCACTCGCAACACGCAGCAGCTGGGCATCGCCCAGCACTCGCACAACACAACACACACATTGCAGCAGCAGCAGCCCGCATTGCGTGCGTGGCTTGCTTGCTGCGCGCATGCGAACGCAGGCTGGCCAGCAAGCCCAGCCTTGGGGCTAGGCGCCAGCTGGGCAGCCTTGGCAGCCAAGGCAGGCTGCTAGCCAGCCATGCGTGGGGTCAGCTTTCAGTCAAAGGAAGACCGGTCTTGGTGGCCTTGCTTGGGGAGCAAGTGGTGTTTGGTCCCCCCCTCCCCCCTTTAGTGGTCCTCACCTACCCTTGCTCACCATTTGCCACTTGGAGCTTGTTGATTCATTTACATTTTAATTTGTTTTTGAATTAAAATAAATTGAGCAAAATGCAATTTTCCCACATTGAAGGGAGATGGGAAATCAAGACTCCCTTCCCTATAAATACCCATGTTTTGGGTTTGGGAGAAAGCACTTGAGTTGAACTCAATAAGGCATCTCATTATAAGTGAGAAAACCTTTAAGTTCGTAATACTCTAATATTTCCTTGGTCTAGCCCCGACTAACCTTCGGGGTAGAGACCGTTCGGGTTGGGTCGAGGGTGCGAGCCGTCGGAGGCTTACGCACTTGTGAAGCTAGAGCTTTCAAGTAAGAGCTCGTAAGCGAGCAAAGCACGCGTCAAGGGTAAGACCTTTGGATTGATTCGTCGTCTCGGATCGGTTATTTGATTGGGGTGCGACCCAAATGGTTCAATGAAGATTAAGCCGTAATATTAATTGTACATTAATATTACTGATTGGAAGCGGCCTCCACCTAGGCATTCCGATCACTTGACCTCACTGAAGAATTAGCTTTCTAATAATTCCAAACCCTTTATAGGAATAATACACTTGCATGTTGGAAGGACACCATTCCTTTCAACTGGATACCAAGGTTATGGCCAGCCAACCGCTAATCCTCAATCTGGGTATGATCAGCGCCAGGGTTATGGCTCAACTCCCAGCTATGGAAACGTGGCTAACTCTCCAACTCAAGATGGTCACCCTCTTGTCTATGGTACCCAAGGTGAGACTGGTCAAACACCATCATCCGAGCAACCACAACAGGGATACATTGGGAGCTAGCCAAGTCCTAACCCTGCATACCCAATTCAGCCCGGTTATGGTGTTCCACCAACCTCACAACCCAGTTATGGGTTTCATTTGTACCACAGGTAGGTGCTTCCTGGTTATGGGCCACCCCAAGGCCAGAAAACACCACCAAACCCATCAGTGTATGGTCAACCTCAGCAATCACCATCTCAGGTAAAGGGGTATGCTCCACCTGCTGCTTGTCAGCCTGGATATCCACCCTCACAACCATCAGTTGCACCAGGTGCTGCTGCTACTTATGGAGCTGGAACTGCTTAGCCTGGTGCTTATCCCCAAGCTTATGGCGCACCACCTGTAACCCCTCCAAGCTATGGGCATCAATCGTATTATGGTGGTGCTTATTCCCGGCCTGCTGCATATTCTGCCGATGATAATGGAGTGGCTGCTACTGCACCTGCTCCTGCTTCCCAGCCTGCTGCTCAGCCTAATGGGGCTGCCAAAGCATCACCTCAGAGCTAGTGTTTGTATGAGAGGTGTTGATAAGTAGTTACAGTTTGTGCCTGTAGTAGGTTAGGATTCAAATACATTTGCTGTTTTATAAAATTTTGGATGGTTATGTTAGTTTCTTTTTATATGGTAATCATATAACTTGTTTGAAATTCCTTCATCATTTATCTATTCAAGTCTCCAGTGTTAATTGAGTATATTGTTATGCAATCTCATTCTCACTTGAGAGTGTGAGTAGGAATAAATGGTACAGATTCTTTCTCGTCTGAACCATCAGCAGTAGCAGCAATGAAAAGGTGCAACACTATGTACCCGATCATGTGTTTGGGGCAACGTTATCACTATGTACCTGATCATGTGATAAACGTTATCACTATGTACCAGACCATGTGTTTGGGGCAACGTTATCACTATGTACAGATGCCTCTGTTGTCTGAATCAGTTCTTTTGAGACTTAAATTAACACATGTATTTTGATTGGTCAGGGTAACCTTTGAGAAACAGTTTCCCTACTGTCAAAGCTTAAGAAACACTATCTATTTATTTCCAAATCTAGTTTGGTATAATATAAAAGAAATATATTACAAAGGGGAAATGATGTTTTGATCTCAAGTCACTGGTACCACTCCCAAAACTTATACGAAGTATTAATGAAACTAGTTAACATACATGTTTTGGTTTCTCCAACAAAGAACATTAGAATTAGTTATGTTTACGAGTTATGCGATTGCCCCGAGTTTCATACCCAATCTCATGACTTGTTCACTCAGCTAGGTGACTAAATGACTGATACCATCTTTTAGCATGGTGCTTAGACTTGATAGCTAGGTAGCATAGAATGAATTGTACAAGACTAATCAACAGTAAACCTATAAAAGTAAATTTCAATTTTAAACTCAATTATACTTGCTACAGATGCATACTTGAGAAAAATAACCATGGATAAAATAAACTATCCAACATTTGTCAACATTTGGAAGTTGAGCAAGAGCTCAAAAGGAAGAATACAAGCATCCTCTTAAGTACATCTTTTCTATAATTCTCCTCTGCAGTCAGTTTTGTCTTCCATCTATTTCTACAAAAGGTTGTTCCTAAATGCCAAGAATCTTTGGGGACAAAAACAAGATAAAGGCCAACAGTGAGCCAAAAAACAATTTTACGAAACAATTGACCGGATCACTATAGACTTCTTCAGATGTGCTGGTTGTGATAGCAGCTGCTGAAGGTAGAGCTTCAGTGACAGCATCAGCTAGATCATTGATGAAAGAAGAAGTGCAATTGAGAGCAGGAACCCGACCCCAATTCTCAATGCCAGATTCAAGCGCCAATTCCTTGTATTCCATATCAATCTCTTCAAGTGTCTCAATGTGCTCGCTCACAAAACTGAAAAAATATGACAGTCAACAATCCAAATAAAAATTACTAATCAAACAATACAGGTATAAAGCAAATATAGTTTTTAAATACCCTGACATCAGTGCTTTTACATACATACTTCAATATTACTATTTAGTAGAGAATGGTTGACAACAACTAACAAAAGTATTCAATAATGGTGAAGTCCATACAGAATCTACTACTATATCTAATTTCTAAATGTTCTCTTGAAACAATCTTGTACAAAATCAGAAAAATAGCATCTCATCATTGGTAAGCAGCTTCCAATAATGTTGCATGAAAACTTGTTAGCGTCATAAATATGTCCAACAATAGTAGGTAGAGCATAGACAAAAGTAAGCTCGATAATATGCAACTCACCTCACAGGAACAGCCAGCAAACTCTTTACTCCTTTTTGGCCAAGCTCAACAAGAACTTTATCAGTATAAGGTTGCAGCCATTGCACAGGACCAACTCGACTCTGAACAAAAAGGATATAAGAAATGAAATTAGCAAAGAGAATATATAAAAACACATCTGAAAACTCGGTATATATATTGGGAGGTATAGACACAAGATATAAACGAGATATTTAAACAGAAATGAAACTACTAAATGAGATTGGAAACCATGCAAGCTCATAACATAACAAACCTGGTAAGCAAGCGTATGTCTGTTGTTGATTCCTCTAGCTTTCAATTCTGTCATAATTAAGAAGATGCAATCCTCCATTTGATCTTTGTATGAATCTCCAGCATCCTCAACATAACTTACTGGCACACCATGAGCGCTGAAGAATATCATAACCTAGACATTGGTGACAACAATGACAGTTCCACATCTTAAGTTAGAATGCCAAAACTTCAAAAACAAATAGCCTGGTGCAATCATGCAACCAAAAAACTATGTACAATTGAATGAAAGAGCTAACATACCTCATCAGGCATGGAAAAGGATTGCAGCTCTTTCTCAATCAAGTCAGCCATGGATTTGACATAACCTTCTCGCTGGTACCAAGATCGGATGATAGCAACAGGCACGCGAGACAGATATGCATCTTCCCTGACAATGTTTAAATTTTTGTAAGCCAATAAGGTAAGAAAATATATACAAACTATTTCCCAATTAGGTCCTGAAGACAAGTTTACCTGAAAATGTTTTGGAGAACTCGGAGGCTAGAACCTGTTGTAGATATAGAAAACTGAGGATAGAGAGGAAGGACAACAAGTCTTGTAATCTTGTCCTTCTTAATCTGAAAATTAAATAAAGAATGTTCAACTGCATTGCTCCAACATAATTTTACATAGGACAGATGGGAAGGGTACAGAAAATCAGAAATACATAATTGTAAAAGCCAAGGAATGTAAAGAATCAAAACCTTCCCCCTTACTGGAATGGTAACAATACTAATGAACAAACACAAATTTCCACAATTAGCATCAATTTCTACAGCAAAAGAAAGCAAATTAGAATATTGTGACTCATGATTGTTACTGTAATAATCCACTATATAAGCCTGCACTTGGTTTAATGCCCGAATCTAAGGGGCGAAGTAGTGGTTTAAAAAGGTAGAATTAGCAATACACAGTTCACGGGTACATTGTACGTATACTACTAAATGAAGTTCAGTTTCTAAAGACAGCAAACAGCAGATCATGAAAGGAAATTAGGGGGTTCCACAATAGAGACAGGTTTTACTGAAACTAAGTGCTCTTTTATAGCAATGATTAAAGAGAATAATGAAAAAAGCGAACCTGTTGAACCGCCTCTTCTGTAAATGGGTACCAGTACCTCATGCCAACATATACAGATACATTCTTATTCTTTGCTTCTAATGCCAACTTAAGTGCATTTGCCTTCAAAACAGAGTTCAATTCAATAAGACTTAGCAAAATTATGGAATTACAAAACCCAAAGGTCCCAAACACAAAAATAATTTAGCAAGGATGTGTTAGAGAAGAAACTAGGAAGGTTCATAAAGAAAACATGTCTCACCTGCTCATCAGTTATCTTTCGTAAAGGTGAACCTCCTCCTATTGAAGCATAGCCTTCCTTGCTTTTAGGCGCTCTTAGCATAGAAATCAACTGAGCCAGGGGCCTTTGCAGAAAACGAAACAACGAGGGAAGGCGAATGATGTCCTAATCCAATAGTTATGAGACACAAATTAGGTAAATTTAATAATTTCACCTGTCCGGATTTTGTTACCACATTTTCTAGTTTAACAATTTCGTTGCTAAATTTCTAGTTTAAATATTTCGTAGCCCCGTTTTTACATTCAACTACATTAAAAATGAGTGGTTAGTTCAACACAGGTACATTTTGGGGTGGTTATTTACAAAAAAAAAAAATCTAAATTGTAATACATGCAATATTAATTTCTATCAAACCCCGGTAAAAAAAAAAAAAAAAAGTAGCCAACAGTCCACAACAACAAATCAATCAAAAATGCTAAAATTATCATCATAACAATTCTAATCAAATGGTATATCAAACCCACGAACCATTTAAATTCAAATCAAAGATTAAAAATTTAAGAATACCCAATTTAATCCAAGTATGCAAAAATCACAAAATCGAATCAATTCGTAAGCATATAAAATAAAATGGCGAATCCCGAAAACTCACTCAAAGAATCTGGATTTGGAATTACGAAACGAGGGAGATGATAATCTCAGCTGCGAAACCACGGCAGAGCTCGAGGTTGCATCCATGGCGGCGATCAATGAATACCCAGAAGCCGCAAAGCTGAAATTTGGCAGTTAGAAGATCAAATTACAGAAAAAAAAAATTAGGGATTATTTTAATTTTGGATTGGGTGTTTGAAAGTATGAGACTTTTCTATTTGTATGAGTAATTAAATATTGCAATGAATAGATTAATTGGTCAATATATATTAAAAAAGAAAGAGAATTGGGAAAGGAAGAATATAAAAGTGAAGAATTATATTTGAAGAACTTTAAACACGAAAAAGATTGAATTTTGAGTTTGGAGGAGAGGGATAATTATGTCTGATGTTTTTATTCCCTTTGACATTAGCTTCTTCTCCGAAAAAGATAGATGCAGGATTTAATGCTTGTACACCATTCTTTGTGGTTAGCAAGTTTAGCTTTTCTGTGACATGTTTTCTGCTAATGTTGTGTTTAAATTGATGTTTAGTTTGTTGGGTCTTTTTTTAAGGTGCAGAATCAAGGCTGGTTCTTCTTTACTTTGATGCTGGGAAAGTACAGGCGAAAGTCTTTTAGTCATAAGTACTTTTACAGTTGTAATAAGTTTTGTTATGGTTGTACTTGTACTAGTTGATGCTTGTACTAAACTAATTGGAAATGAAATAAAATTAGAACATTTTTGCTATTAGATGTTTTTGCAGCAATATTTTTGGATTTTTTTGAAATTACTTGTACCTAGATATTGAATCTATATAACAGGTTTAATTATAAGAAATTACTGTGTATGATTGTATATAGTTGATTGAATTAAGCAGTGAAATTTGCTGAAACTCACGAGGCCAGTTGTATATAATGAACATAGTTCATTAGGTTAATTGCACACACAATTGAAGATAACCTACAGTACAAGGCTTTGTTCAAACAACTAAAACTCATGGAAGTAAGAGATTTTTAGTGAATACTGTCTTAAGATAACCAGTACTCCTTGGGAGGAGAACGGAGGATCATATGACTGTGGCCCTCGGGTGTTTGAGTATTGGACTTCTATGTATATAATGTATATGATGATCGCAAACTCTGGAATAGGACATAGGAGCCTCTACGGCTGTGTGTTAGCTGCCATGGAGTACGAGATTGTTTCGTATTTGGTGTCACTTACGGTCTAGTCTAGGTGTGCTATGGATCCAAGGCCTTTTGCAGTCATGTACTTATCTTTTCACGATTCTGTTTAACTGTGGTGCAGGCTTGAAAATGTCCTGGGGCTGTAAATTGTAGCCTTCAGTTAAGTTTCCAAAGGGCTAATTTGAACTTAGTGAATCAAAGCCGTTTGTTTACGAACCAGCTTTAGACATCCCTCATATGCTGCATACAGCATACTTAAGAACCATTAACTTTCAAAGGGTTTGAAGAGACCTTTCGACACCATCCAATGCTCTTGCTAGTACCAAATCTTTTGGTAGAGAGCCTTAGGTGACCTTAAGACAGTGCCATAATCTTGCTCACTTGGATTTCAATGATAATCTTTGGGAGGGTCTTAAAACTTTAAAAGGCATGAGTAATAGCTTTCAAAGATGGATTCTCCAACTCTCCGAGGGCTCAAAGTAACTAAGAATATAAGATGGATTGTGAATGGATCGTTTTTATTAATATTTGTCATGAATTATAATTTCTCCATTCTTTATTAATGTTTTTTTTTTTTATAGATAGAACAAGAACGATCATGACGAAAAAAATTACTAAAAATAAATATTGCACTTATAACTTCAAAATTAGGGAAATGTAGTGATTAATAGACATATGAGGAAGTATGATGATATATAGCATTGTATAGCACCCAACATTAATACGAGTAGAGGATTTTTTGTTTTGGCGTAAGCATGATTTGATCACGTCAAAAATAAAAATCAAAAGCTTAAATACTTATAACTTCTAGGAGAGCTAACCCAAGATTAACAGTAGTAGCTTGAATAACTGTAATCAGATTAGCCAAAGTAGAGGGTGCCTTAATAGTAGCTTTTAAAAAAACAAATAATTGATGGGGTGAGAGAGGCTGAACTCTCGACCTCAGGATCACTCAACTTAGCTATGAGAGCTACGCGCTAGCCAATTGTGCCACCACCCTTTTGTTGATGATCTCTTAGTTTTAAGCTTTATATAGAAATCAGTTTTCCATTATCAATTTATTGCTGAAACTCTTATTCATTACAATTCTACTGTATCTCTCCTTTATTTCACCACATATGCATCTCTACTACATTAATGATGCTAATATACCTTATTAGCCAAAGAGATTTATAGAAAGTCGTGATTTTATCAATGCGGGGATTCATATTATTTCGGACTTTTGTTCAATCCCTCTCAAAAATACGAAAAAAAAATATGTAAACGAAAACACAACAACAAATGTTTTATGAGACATACCGCATCCACGGCAGTGAGCGGTGGCACATCATCATCATCGGCGTCATCGCCGTGGTAGAGGTCTCTGATCAACCTCGGATGCGAATACTGGTTGTACCATTCCATGTAGTGCTGGTCACACATGGCAGTCACCCCAGTTGGCGGCCGCTGTAGCTCCACCGTCCATAGGCGGGCAACCATCGGAAACTGCTCCCACGTGGCAATCATGCTTCCCCGCCATTGGACGATGTACTCCTTCGACGACGTAGATCGAACCGCCTTACTAGGCCATGCTGGTGGAGGAGGAACAACTTGGACAAATCCAAGCTGGCGAAGACAGCGCTGTGGCATGTACGCCTCTACGATATCACGATACTGAATCAGTCCCGTATAGAGGGTCCTGGGTACCCTATTACTAGGGTTCTGGCCGAAAGGCATCCAGTTCACCTGCACATTTTTTCAAATTAGTAAGATTCATATAATAAACACATCAAACTATAAAAGTAGAAATAATTTAAACACTTTAGCTCTAATGGGGACATCCTATCAAGCAATAACCGTATCGATCGCAGGCGGTCAATGGACTTCTTCTCGAATCGCGGACTCCACGCATAGGCACGTGGCTGCCCATCCCCAATAGGAACCGAGTCACGGTGTGGTCGAAACGCGGGAAAATACTCGTATATCCAGGTCTGTAACAATGTCAGACATCCAGTGATACCTGCCGCATCAGCCCGACTCGAGTATCCTAACTGGCAATACATATACGCCAACGTAGATGACCCCCAAGAAAACTGGCCTACTCTGTCGGGCTCACACGCGTCAACTATGTCATGTGGCCTGAGCTTGTTTCCACTCTTATATGGAAACAAGGTACACTCAAGGAGAAGAAAAATATATGCAGCCAGCTGTTTGTCCTGCGTCCTACGTGCAGTGGGGTGCAAACATCGCTGCAAAACGGTTGCGATCTTAACACCGCCGTGATCCCAAACACCAAGTGTCGCTGTGTACAGCACAACCCTATCCACCGCCAACAACTTCGCTAGTAAATCTGTCTAATCCGCATCAGTGACAATAGAAAGTTGGTTTCCCTCTACGGGAATCCCAAGGATGGCCTCAACGTCATGCAACATGATCGTCATCTCACCGAACGGAAGGTGAAAAGAGTTTGTATCCGGCTTCCATCGCTCAACGAAAGCTGTGATCAGCGTTGAGATAATCCTTTCGTGCATGATGGCAGGAAGGTGACTCGCTCTAGTGCCCTCAATTGGCCGAGCATCTCGCTCTCCTCCGGCCAAGCATCAGCCCCAATTACGCATAAAGTTACAAGTCTTTTCCCGCGTTTGGCATTTCAAAATGCCCGTATCCAAAGCCCTTTCCTGGTCCTCCCAGATACGGGTAAAGATGTGTCCTAGAAAGCTAGAAATCACACTCCCGTCTACAGGTCCCCCAACCACCTCACCCCTCACCACCTAAGAATCATTAACGGCCCTCGACCGTTTTCTGCTAACCGCAGACACAGTGGACGTAGATGATGTGCCAGATTTACTAACAGATCTACCATCTCTACCCTTACACACATCTACCCTATGCGTCTCATACATATCATCAAGCCTCTGACTAAATGGACCGTAATCATCATATGGTCCACTCTGATCGTCCACATTCTCATCTGCATCCTCCTCCTCCTCCTCATCACCATCATCATCTTCATCATCCTCAGAATAGTGCACCCGTTCTCTGCGACCCAAGGCCGAAATACCACGGGATCTAACGTGTCTGGGCCCCGAGCTCTCCATTGAATAGATTGTACTTCTTATAACGTCCATACTCTTCCCCGCACCAGGTCAAAAATGCGATGCCTAACTCCATTTAAATAACGAAAAATAATAGCAATTGTTATTATTATTATTTATATTAATAATCTATTTTTAAAAGTATCAACAACAAAAAATAGAAATACCTAACCAAAAAAAAATATCAAATATACAAAAAAAAAATACTAACAAATTGACATTAAAAAGAAAAGTACACAACATCGAAAAAAAATTTAAACAAATTAGAAAATACACAAAAAAAACAAAAAAAAATACCAAACCATACAATATGAACATAAAAAAAGTAAATAAAAATAAATAAATAAAACAATATACAAATAATTGAAAAAAAAATATATAAACATAAAAAAAAAATATAAACATAAATAAAAAAAATATATAAACATAAACCAAAAAAAAAATATAAACAAAAAAAATATAAACAACAAACAAAAAAATCAAAAAGATAAACAAAAACAAAAAAATCAAAAATACAAAGAAAAAAAAATCAAAAAAAAAAAAGGAAACCAAAACAAAAAAATAATAACCAAAAAAATTGAAACAAAACCAAAAACTAAAACAAAAAAATAAAACAAAACAAAAAAATAATAACCTAAAAAATAAAACGGCAATTTCATGAAATGCCGCTGAGCACTTATAAAATTTATCAAATGCCATCGTGTTTTCCAGAATTCATCAAATGCCACTGACAAACAGTATAATGTCATGTCATGCCATTAATGAGGTCTGGCTATTAGTTCTCCGTTACTGGGAATTGACGATTTTGCCCTTATTGTGTTTAACGGCGCCATAAAGCCTTTTGACTCCCCCTGAACTAATTTAATAACTTCAATTAAATAATTAAAAGTTGAGGAGTCGAAGTGTTCATCCTCTCACCATTCTCTGTTCTTCATGCAAAGTCTTCATCAGTCAACCCTGCAATTCGATCAAGGTGGAAGCTTTTTGTAAGTCTGAATTTTGATCAGCAATTGGTAGTAGCACGAAGTAGTAACTACAAAACTTGTTTTTTGGCGAACTGAAGTCGTTGTTCGCAAGGAGGGGGAGCAGAGGTAGTCAATCGAATCTTGAAAAGTGTTGTTACGCTCCCAAAATTAGCACGCAAGGTAACATTTTTTTTCCATCGATCTTCAATTCGAGTACCGATTTTGTCAATTTTTCTTGATTATCAAATTAGGGTTAGGGAATGGTTGGTTGAGTTAAATGTTGTGATGTTATGTTTAAAATCATGTTGTGTTACTGAATTATGGGTTTGACTGTCGCAAATGTGTTTTTTTGTATGTTAGGGTACAAGTTTTCTGTCATTTTGATTCATTAAAATGAGACTTTGTGAAGTGTTAGAATATTATGTGGTTTAGCATGTGTGTGTGGATGTGAATTGTGTGTGTGTTGAGTAACTTGGTAATTTTTGTTGATAGGATGAGTAAAGTGTGGCTGAATGTCAATAATAGAGATGGTGGTTTTAATGTGTTGATTGATGATACTGACCGGACTAGTTTAATGGATTTGTTTGAGTTTATGTTTGAGGACTCTGTCAAGCAAAATGTCTAGCTCCCTAAGTACTTTACTTTTCTTGTTAGCAAACCTAGAACTAATAGGAAACTGGAGTTATGTGGTGATGGTGATATTTTGAAAATGTGGGAGTGGAATGTGGGTAAGGAAACATTAGATATATGGTTGGAGGAAAGGGAAAGTCCTGGATGGTGTTTAAGGATGCTAAAGCTAGTTGGCATAGAAGGTTAAAACAGAAAGCTGAGAGGGATAGGTTAGAAATGGAAAAAAAAGAAGAGGTTAGCTGAAGAAGAGGAAGCTCAAAGGGAGCTTGATGAACAACAACCTTTCACTGTTGCTGTAGAGGTTCTTGTGGTAGATGCTGAGGACTCAGGAGTTGAGTATGTTAGAGTGTTTCACACTCCATTAGCTAATGAGGTTTTCCTAGGCCCATCCCAGCCACAGGCAGAACATGGTTCCCAGCCATCAACTCTACCAAAACATCATCAACCCACTTCTCCTGTTAACCAGCCTAGAACTAAAACTGTTAGGAAGAAAATGACACCTAGGAAAAGGAAAACTACAGCCCCACCACACACACAAGAACCCTCTCTAAACACAGCAAAATCCCCACCACACACACTAGAACCCTCTCCAAACACAGCAACATCCCCACCACATACACCAAAACCCTCTCCAAACCAAGCAACATCTCCACCACCAATACCACAACCTTCTACAACCCAAGTAACACCCCCACCCCAAACATTACCTTCTTCTACAACAGTACCATCATCTAGTGCAGAACCTAAAAAGGGGGCTAGATCTAGACCCCCAGGTTTCAGAACAAAAAAGAGTGCTGGGAAAAAGGTTGATGAGGGAAGTCAGGAGCTAGGTGTGAGTATAAGGAGATCAGGAAGAAATAGGAAGTCACCAGTTAGGGTTGAGACCAGTGATGATAGTACTGAGGATGATAGATTTGATGATTACATAGAATCTGGCAGTGAGCTAGATTATGATGATGTTAATCTTGCTGACTTCATAGAGGAAGAAGTTGATTGTTTATATGATGACATTCCTGAGAAGCAGTTTGAGGATTACCTTGATGGGAGTTCAACTATGGACAACACTTATAAAACTGGCAAAGTCTAAACTCACCAAGAATTTGGAGCCATTACACTAGAGCCCTGGTTGATCTTTGCAGACAGAGAATCATTCATGGATGTATTCAAGGATTATTGTATACAGGAAGGCTTTGGTGTCTTTGTGGAAAAGAGTGACCCATAGAGGTATATTGCAAGATGTGCTATTGAGTCATGTAACTGGAGAATTCATGCTTCTACAATGACTGACAAAGTCAGCTGGGCAATCAAGACCCTAACAGGGGAGCATATCACTTGTGGCAGGCTGGAGATTAACCCTGTTGTGAGTATTTCTTGGCATCTGCAATCAGATATTCAATCAAACCCTGACATTTCAGTTGAGTCCTTAAAGATACTCTGTATGTAAAGGTTCAGAGTTCAAGTTAAAAAAAGGCTAATGTATAAGGTGAAAGCTATGACCAAGGAGATGATATATGGTGGTTTTGGAGAGGCATACTCCCTTCTTCCTAGATATGCTGAGATGGTCAAAGAAACCAACCTAGGGAGTTATGCTCTAGTTACATGGACACAAATCTCTGCAAATGTGCAACCTAGATTCAGGGCTTGTTTTTTCTCCTTTGTTGCCCAAGTTAGAGGGTTTTTGTCAGGCTGCAGACCTTTTATTGGCGTTGATGGGGCCCATCTCAGTGGATATTATAAGGGCATCTTGTTAACAGCAGTTGGGATTGATGGGAACAATGAGATTTTTGTGATTGCTTATGGCATAGTTGATACAGAGAGTTATGACAGTTGGGGTTATTTTATGAGGAATTTGAAATGTCTATTTCAGAAGGAGGGCTGCAACAGAGATGATTGGACCTTTATTTCTGACAGGTGAAGGTGAGCTAGAAATCACTGCAACTAACATTAAGTTTTAATAATGACATGCACATTTTAGCTAATACAAATATCTGAATGTACCTGCAGGGGGTTGATGCAGCAATTCATGACACATTCCCTAGAGCAAGCAGAAGAATATGTTGTCAGCACTTGTACATCAACTGTAAGACAAATGGATTTGCTGGAACAGCTTTTCACAAGCTCTTCTGGATAGCAGCTGATGCATACAATCCATATGTCTTTAATAAAGCTATGGGGAAGATTCATGACCACAATCCCAAAGCTGTTGAGTACTTGAACAATACCAGTGAGGTTTGGTCAAGGCATCTGTTTGATACAGCACTTTACTGTGATCATAACACAACCAATTTTGTTGAATCATTCAATTCCTGCACCAATCCATACAGAGATCTACCTGTTCTAAAACTTCTTGAAGGTAATTAAGTGGTTTGTTGTCTACCAGCATCAATTTGACAATGCTTCTGTTGTGGTGCTTACCTTCAAATGGATTTCACTTTTCAGGTATAAGGCAATGGTGCATGAATAGGATGGCTCCAAGGTTTGATAAAGCATCATCCATGGATGATAGGGACCTCACTGAGTATGCAACCAAGATCCTGCAGCAGAGATCTGATGAGTCTAGGTTCAGCTATGCAACTCCATGTGGTGGTGATGAGTATGAGGTGAGGGACCAACATGTGCATTTTCCTGTCAAGCTAGGGACTAGAACTTGTGGTTGTGGGAAGTGGCAGCATTCAAAGACCCCCTACAAACATGTGGTAAGGGTGATTTACCACCAGAGGCTTCAACTTCGATATTGTGTCTCCTTATTTCAAAGGGGGGCATACAAAAGCACTTATGCTGAGCATATGCACCCAATTCCTGACCCAAGTCAATGGCCTTCATTCAATCTCCCTGACATACTTCCACCACCAGTGAAAAGATCTGCAGGTAGACCAAAGAAGCAGAGAAGAAGAGGGCAAAATGAAGGAAGGAAAGGGAAGAGGCATAGCACAGTTAAGTGCAGCTTATGCAAGGAGTTGGGCCACAACATGTTGACCTGTGCAGCAAAGAAAAAGAATGCAGCAACTAAAGCAAGCTCTTCAAACAACAAGAAGAAAGTTGCATGAACACCAAACCCCTCTCCTTTTAAGTTCCCAGCAAACTTGTTTATGGAATGTAGTTTTTGAACATCAATAGTCAACTCTGTGCTATGTTATTGTGGTTTTTTTTGGACATGTTCTCTGTAAGTTTTTGGGGATGTGATGTGAACAACAAACCAAATTATTGGTGCACATGATTGAAACAGGAAGAATTAAGCTTAAATGAATGTTCAATTTACCACTTTATTCAATTTCATTGCAATTACAATATAGTTCACTTCATCATTACAATCACAACTATTACACATATTAGTACACCTAACTTCATAACAGAATTGAGAAATTTTTGCTGCTGCTTCACTTTCTTCTTCAATTGCTTCAATTCATCACGCAAATTGCCATGTCCTGACCCATCCCTTTCATAACAGCTTCCCCTACTTTGACCTTCTTTCGGCATGAAAACTTTGCACCATTTGAAGCTATTACATGAATCACACTTGTAATAAAGCCTTTGGGGATTAGATGTTGACTCCGAGCTTCTAATTGCATATATTCTACCACAATTGCAAAACTTGTTTGGAAATCTTACATATGCATGCTCATGTATTGAGGAGGATGTGTTTGATATCAAACTCATGATTATGCAAATAGAGGGCTTCTATTTGCGTTCCTAAGTATCACATTTATACAAGAAATTGGGTGCAACGGCTAGTTTACCCCAAAAAAAATTCAAAAAATGGAGAAACTAACTAGCCGTTAGAACTCATTAGTTTAGAGATATATTGTGTAATAATTTATATAAGTAATGGCATTTCATGAAAATTTATAATTAGTTAGTGGCATTTGGTGAATTAAGATTCCTAGTAACAGAGAACTAACAGCCAGACCTCATTAATGGCATGACATGACATTATACTGTTTGTCAGTGGCATTTGGTGAATTCTGGAAAACACGATGGCATTTGGTGAATTTTTTAAGTGCTAAGTGGCATTTCATGAAATTGCCGAAAAAAACCCCTAGAATCTTAATCTTCTTCATCTTTCTTTTTGAGATTTTAAACTTGTTTTTTTTTTCTGATCTTCTTCTTCTTGTTCTTTCTTCTTTTGTTCTTCTTCTTCTTTCTTTCTCTTTTTTTGTGCTTCCTGTAACTCTTCCTGTTCTCTCTTTCTCTTCCTCAGTTCTTCGACTTCATTCTTTTCCACTTTTTCATAGAGCTTCATTAGTTCATCTTTCACCCTATCGCTTCTTTGGAATAGATCATTTAATCTTTTTATCCCAATTATCCATCACATTTTCTCTTGGATCGTTTGATGAAGTAGAAGACTGAGAATTGTTTTCCATTTTTGAGAAGTAAGAAAAAAAAAGGTTTATTTTAGGAGAGAGGACATGGAAAATATGGGAAATTTGTAAGAAATTATATAGTTTTATAGGAAAAAAAAAATAATAAAAAAACCCCTATTTTATTTGTTTTGCCCTTTTTATCCTTTTTGTTTATTTTCTTCTATTTGTTTTTTTTTTTGATATTCTTCTATTATTTGTTTAGAACATCTCTTTACTTTATCTACATATTCATTAAACTTCTTTAATTTTCTTAATAAATTTAAAGATTTAATTTATATATAATATAATATATAATATATACTTTTATGATTTTTTTTGTTTTAATTTAAAAAAATATATTATTATAAAAAGCAAAGTAAGAAAACATGACTTATGGTACATCTAATATATAATACTTGATAGATGATATAAATACTTGGTAAGCTGATTTGTTTTTGAAGATAGAATGTTGATAAGTAATTTGTAAGAAAGATATTTATCATATGATTAATGGTTAGTTTAATTTATATCATTATTTTGTTTTTTGATATGTGTAATTTATTGGCTGATATATTTCTTATATGTTTTGTTTAGTTGTCTGATACACATACAAAATTTGAATCTAATGAGTACTTTCAATATTTTATTATTATCATTTGTTATCAGCTCATTTGTTTCTTTTGTTGGCTTATAATATCGTTTTGATGGCTAAAATTATTATTTTGTTGGTTTAAATTAGTTTTATTTCATTTTTATCATGTTATCACGTGCTTGCTTTTAATGCAATTTGTTTCTTTTTTTTATACTACAAAATTAAGAAATCACGAAATAAATAAAATAAAACTAAAAACTGAAATTTCGAGAAAGACTGGATAAATATCCTTATATATCAAAACCCTAAAACCTTAACCCCAAGAGTATCCTTATTTAATCTTCAATGACCTCAAGCTAAAATACACAGAAAAAGTAAAAATAAATCCATGTCAGACTTCAAGCAAAGAGATGGTAAAGCAAAAGTAGAAGATGAGGATAATGCAAATATGGGAAATAGGATCATCTTCAGCACCAATGAGGTCATTCGAGATTGAAAATGCTCAAGAGATCGTAGAAAATGTAGTTTCTAACTGGAACAGAGACCTCAAAAATAACATAGGGCCATTCACCATACTCAACCACATGAAAACTTTAATTGGAGGTCATTTAATGGCAACTCTTGTTCGAGGAGGCTTTAACGCTGTTGAAGGTATAGAATTCCACCCAATCTATATATCCCTATTTGACTCCCTTAAAAATTGGTAAATCAACACTTTTTTGAAAAGAGGCATTTTGTTTGTTGTACTACATGGTCTCCGTATATAGATTTACGTTTAGTTTCAATTTAGAGAAACTACATAGTAGACTCCTAAGCTACATGAATTATCCTACGTTTCACCGGTATTTTATTAAGTTCATAGAGTTTTCATGCCAATACATTGGTGGAGAGAAGAACTTGTTATCATGTTAATGGAGAATGAGCCATCTAACAAAATGTGGGGCTTAGTTTTTTTAGGGAGGGACGAAGACGATAAATGTTGTGGACAAGTCTCCAAATTAGCTAGAATGGAGTGTAACCTATGAGTAGCTAGGAACATACAAGGAGAGGATCCGTATGAGAACATCATCTCCGGATCAGAGTACAAGAAATTCAAGAGAGTCATGGTTAAGCGAAACAACAGTAGCTACACTACTGAAGTTATGGATTTCATTGCATTCGATTTTAATAATTACACACAAGGATACTTGAACAAGTTGAGTATGTGCCTTCATATAAACTGATTTTGGGATGAAGACTCTAATTCAGCAACTGAAAATTACCCAAGTGACGATTGGTCATCAGATGAATGGGAAGAAATTGAAATATGAAATCATTTACATTATAACATAATATTTAATATATACTTTTAAGATTTTTTTTGTTTTAATTGGATAATAGTTTTCTTTCATTAGCTGATTTGTTATTTTGTTGCCTAATATAATACTTCTTTGGCTTATATGATTCTTTCATTGGTTAATATTATGTTTTATTTGGCTGATATGTTACCTATGTTGGCTTATATGATTCTTATTATGGCTGATATAGCGGATATGTTTTATTTAGTTGCTTGTTATTACCATTTTGTTGTGTGATGTGTTCTTTATGTTGGTTGATTCGTTTTTTTCAGTGGCTGATTTGTTATTTTGTTGTCTAATATAACACTTTATGGCTTATATGATTCTTACATTGGCTAATACTATGTTTGTTTGGATGATATGTTACCTATGTTGGTTTACATGATTCTGATTTTGGCTAATATGTTATTATCATTTAGATTTTGGCTGATATGTTTGTTGATTCGATTCTTTTGGTGGCTTATTTGATTATTTTGTTGGCTGATATGTTACCTGTGTTGGATTTTATGAGTTATCTATGTTAACTTAAATGATACTAATATTGGATTATATTATTCTTATGTTGGCTTAAATGATATGAATTACAGTTTCCCTTAAATGCTTTTTTAAATGGTTGAAATCATTCCTTTGGCTATCATCAATTCTTTGGCTTATATGATACATAAGTTGGCTAATATCAATCTTTCATTGGTTGATATGAATCTATTGTTGGCTGATGTGTTACCTGTGTTGGATGTTATAATACAATTAACACCCAACAATAATGGTGTTAACACAAACACAGTTTCAATAGTTTATAATAATTATTATAAGTTTTAACATCAGAAAAATTAGAATTTAAAGTTTGTTTATTCAGTTAAGAAAACTTCCATCATCATCTCATAATTAATACACATTAAAAACGATAATTATGAAAAAAAAAATAGTATAAAGGTTATTTTGTTGGCTTATATGATTTTATTGGTGGCTGATTTGTTTTATTTTATAGTTTATAAGATCATTATGTTTGCTGATCAATTATTTTTTTAGCTTAAATGGTTTCATGTATGGTTTATCATCAATTCTTTGTCTTATATGATACTTATATTGCCTAATATCATTCTTTCATTGGTGATTTGTTTCTTATGTTGGTTATTATGATACCTATATTGGCTGATACTGTTTAATTTTTTGCATATATAATTCAAAAGGTTTAGAATTAAAGAAGTTACTCTAAATCAAACAAAACAAAGCACTAAAAAAATTATCAAGGAAAAAAAACGAGAAATTATAGAATAAAATCAAATAATACATATATATGATAATTAAAATCATTAATCAAAACCCAGAATCCCCTTAAAATAAACATCACTTGAATAGATCATACTTATAGTTAATTTATATAAAAAAGAAACACTCTAAAACCTAATTTAACTTTCAGTTGCTCTTACGGGCATACATATCAGTATCATCACTGCCTTCACAATAATCTTGATAATTTTAACCAAATGCAAAGTCAGGGTCTAGATCATTGTCATTTTCATATTCAGAATCAAGATCGCTGTCAATCTTCTTACTCTTCCTCTGACTCTTCATCTGCTTCTTACTCTTTATCTTCATTTTTTTTCCTAATCTTTCATCTTCTTCTGTTCAACGCTTTCATCCCGTGCTTTCTTTTGGTACTTTGTTCTCCTTTTTCGAAATTTCCTTTCTCTTTTGATGTTCCCTGCTTCAACTGTTCTAGAAAAAAATTCATTTTTTAGTAACATCAGCAAAGTACACAAAAAAACTAGAAACGT